TCTCTCTCAAAGACGTCTTCAACCTTTCACCGCCTTGGCCGGCGTCCGGAGCTCCCCTCCGGCGTCGTGCTCCTTGTTTATGCTTGTAAATTACTAGTAGGTTCCTTGCTTCCTAACCAGATCTGGTTTTGCTTCGAGGGGATGGACGGATCTAGTGGTTTGGTTGGTGGATTTCATTGTCTCGATGATGGTTTCAATCCTCAGGCTTTGGGATCTCTTCACGCGTTCGGATTTCTTCGGTGGTGGTGGCTTATATTTCTCAGATCTGATAGTTCTTGTGTCTTAGGGTTTGAGAAGATTCGATTGAAGTCGTCACACGTCCAGATCCGGTTCTTCCTGAAAATTTCCGGCTGTTTTGATCGATTTAAGATGTGGTAAGTGTTAGATCTCGTCCTCTCTTCTCGCGTTCACTGGGTTTTGGGTTCTGTTGTTATCTGTTTAAGACTTAGCTTCCGTTGTTTGTTTCGGCTTAGCCGCTGTGTAAGACTCCTAATTCAATACACTTCCACAATTCCAGTGAAAAAAAAACAAAAAAAAGTTGGAAAGTAGTTATTTATGCAGTTATGCTGTAAATGGGCCTCTATCACTTTTCATAGCCCATAATGTACATTATTTACCTTTCTTTGTTTTTTGTTTCTAGAAATGAAATGTTCGTATATGTAATCCAATTTTAGGATCTATTTTTTGGGTACAAATATTTATACAAAAACATTTCTAAAATAAGGGTATTGGATCTCCATTTTTCTCTCAAATCCATCGATTTTTCCTAAAAAATCTCATCATTGAAAACATATAAATCCCTCTCCATGTCCTCTTATTTTCTTCATCTAAAGCTTTTGCAGTATTCATAGAAAATAATACTACTGCTTTAGCTTTGGAACACACCTCTCCTTTTAATCTTACAAGAAAAAGAATAAAACAAAAAATGGCACGTCAATTTGTCGTTTTTGCCCTTTTGGCTTTGGCCGTGGCTTCCGCATTCGCCGCCGACGCACCATCAGCTTCTCCCACCGCTTCTCCGACCAAAGCCCCCACCAAGGCTCCGGCCGCCGCACCAAAATCATCCGCCTCCGCACCAAAAGCTTCGTCCCCTGTCGCAGAGGAGCCCACCCCCGAAGACGATTACTCTGCAGCCTCCCCCTCTGACTCCGCCGAGGCACCCACCGTCTCCTCCCCACCGGCTCCTACCCCTGAAGCCGATGGACCATCCTCCGAGGCACCCACCGCCGAGGCACCCGTAAGCGCCGCCCTGACCAATGCGAAGCTCTCCATCGCTGGCATTGTTGCCGCCGCCGGATTCTTCTTCTTCTCTCTCTAACTTTGGGACGAATCATATTTGTGTAAACATTCAGGACGAGAAGCTGAATCTTTAACTACGTACTATATACGATTATAATCAAAGATTAATTGGAGTTAATTATTATTATTTTTTTGGATGTGATATAATACTGTATGTGGTTTAGATTTTGAATGGAAAACAAAACGTTTCACAAAAGGGCATTTGGTCTAGTGGTATGATTCTCGCTTAGGGTGCGAGAGGTCCCGAGTTCAATTCTCGGAATGCCCCCCCCCC